TGCTGCAGCAAAAGTTTAGATTTTAATTTTCATAAAATTTATTTTTTATCATTACTTTTCTCTGCTTCAAGTTATCTCTGTGACCATTGCAGGGTTTTATTTCATGTGTAAGGTGGTAGCAACAATTATGTCCAAATGTGTATATTGTATCTACAGATAATGCATTATTTTCTACCACACATTTTCCTTCCTCTAAATGATCTTTTAATATGCTTGGGTATACCATTCTGAAGACCCAAGGTCTTTAGAAGAAGCCTTTTATGGGTTACCCTTCTTTGAAGAATGTAAGTGATGCCTGTTGGGAAAAAAATAAAAAAAAATACTTGTAGGTGCAACCCATAGCATGATCATAAATTAACATATCTAAATGAAAAAAACAAAAAATAATTCAATGGGTCTTGTGTGAGGAAATATTTTTCAGAGAAGTTATATATTATGTTTATATATTATATATTTAATATATTTGTTTATATTACGGTAAATAAACAAAATGAATGCTGTTTTGATGATATTTCAGTATCACACACCTGCATACCCATTAGAAGCAGAGCGTGCTGACCCTCAATTATGACATTATTCTGTGAAGCAGTAATTAACTAAAGAGTTTAGACTAACTCATAGTTGGTCAAGAAAAAATCCACTCCAACAAATTACATTACTCATTCATGAGACCAAGGCTTAGCATACTCAGTTTGTAACCACCTTTGCCACAGCCATATTGGTGTCAATTTCTGAATGTTCTGTCCTGACTTCCTTCCTCAAACTAACTTATCACTTGATATTTCAGTGAACACTAAGAAAGCATTAATGAGGAACCAGATCAGACTTGGATTCAAGGGGTAAAGCAAACTCAAAATAACTGGTGACCTCATGCTGTAATATTATAGGCCTCAAACTTGCTTTAAATAGAACAAAAACATGTTTCCAAAATGTTTCAAAGAATAACCCTAAAAGTCCTAAATATTTTAAATTTCTTTAGAATGCTTTAAATGCACAACATATGATGGCGGATTCAAGTGTCCCTCAAACTCGTTTAACCTGAAGGTTATGAATTGATTGTAATATAAAACCACGCAACAATGTATGGATACAGATTGAAGGACATTTGCAACAGAATTCAAGGAAGAAATACACAGTATCTGAAATATATGACTGTGAATTATTTATGAAGCCTAGGTGCTTTCTTTAGAAGCTGTGGGGAGTTCATGGACTCATTGATAATTTAAAAGTACCTTTCTGTGTGACTATGGGACCAGAATCAGTTCTTTATGATTTTTTAATGCTGCTACATTTCCTGATGTTTCAAAATGTTTTCCTTGTTGGATGCACTGCCTTGTACTAAAGTTAATCTGTAACTGTAATTAAAAGTTCAACAGTAACATATTCCACAGCATGCGAAGAAATCTGACACAACACTGCTGCTGTGATATGGAGAACATAAAGCTGATGATACTTCAGCAGATCAATGGATCCGGGGTCACTCAGGTAAATCTGAGATCCAAAAAGTCATATCATAATCATAGAGGTCTTAATTGCTGTACAATGTTTAGTAGCATGATATTTAATTATCTGCTTTCAAAACAAATGATAAGAGAAAGTGAATTAAAGCCATAACTAAACTGAAACAATAGAGAGCAAGTTTCAAACTAAAATTCTAAATGGAAGAGAAGCATCCTGCCATGTCACCCTGACCTAATGACGGACAGTGAGATGGCTGTTTGATGCCTGCAAAGCTTTCTTTCTTGATATGAAAAAAAAAAAACAACATAAAAGCTCACAAAAACTTTTGTAAGAGTGGCATTAAGCTGAAGATCTAGCTCTTTCACAGTAAAGCCCTGTCACCCAAAGTGCAGGCAGAGCTACGCCTCAATGCAAATAATGTTGTAAGGTGAGATCCACTGAGAGCTAACTGAGCATATCCCAAACTCCATTGGGTAGCAGAACTTTCGAGATTAATTGGTGTTCAGAAGAAACTTGACATTTCACTGATATGACTTTACTTGAGCACAGATTTTCTCGGAATTTAGATTATAACAATAATAAAGTTGCAAAATCATTTTAACCGATATAAGCACTGTGCACAGAATAGTCACCTTTTGGGTGCATCAAGGTGTAAATAGCCTGTGTGGGTCACAGAAAAGGTATTAATTTAAATCGACAGGAAACAAATTTAAAGTCAATATGGTCCAAAGTACTGTAGATATTTAATTTGAGGTTTATTTGCTTCTATAATCAAATAAACCCTTTGCTCTAACACAGAACCACAATAAGAGAACCATGATATCCCCAGAGCTGTTCAGGTTGGATGTCTTTTTTAAAGGGGATGCTCATCAGAACTTAGTTGCTGGATCAAACTCTCGTACAAAAAGAAGCCAAACCATATCTAAAATTAAACTCTGAATTTATAGATAGTTAACCTGATAAAATGATTTATCTGAAACTGTTTTTACTTTTTCTCATCTTACAGCCTCAAGCTTCTATATGTCCATGTAAATTCTAAGTTATCAAGGTCATGGCAATCACAACAATCAATTCTAGTGCGAGTCAACACGATGACAACAACTCCTTCTTAGGTGTCGCAAAAACCTGAGTGAAAGTTTGGTTGTCTTCAATTTTAAACATGTTGTTGGGAAAGGCTTCACTGTTTTCAATAGGATGATAGGATTTTAGTTAAATAACAGGAAAACAATAAGATAACTATTGTAATATTCATTTTCATATATAAAACTCAAATGTGCATTTACTAAGCTCCCTGTACACTGATACCCATATGACATATCCAGCCCCTCTAGACGCCTTAAGATTTCAGATAATTGGTCATTGAAACCATATTTGGTCAATTTATTGTAGTCTAAATACAGCCGGTTCTTTTTTCAACATCAGCGATTATTAGAGAACATTAGAGAACAACCAGCAGCACGAAAAACCAAGGAACGCATCAGACAGGTCAGGGAGAAAGGTAGGTTCCGAAACAATAAACTTGAGGCACAGAAAATCTCGCAGTGTTCGGGTTTACTCATGCACTTTATTTTTTTAAAGATTTTTATTTTTTTGCCCAAGAGGTGTTAAGCATCAGAAAATAAATGAGGGCAAAAGAGAAGGGGCCATGATATGCAGCAATGGTCCCAATGATGGCTGTTTTAAGGGAATAACTGGTTCATCATATTGAGTATCCCATTACTAAGTGATCTTTATTTAAAAGCTGACTGACAGGAGGCGAAGAAAGAGGGATAGATACCCATAAAAGGCATCGGATTCAAACCATGGATGTGTGCGTCAAGGACCAAGGTACATGGCTCAGTTTTTGTCACCACCACACTCACTTATTTTTTAATGATCACTTAATTAATTATCAGGATTCTACAGACAAACAAATAAAAAAATAAATCAGGATGCCTCATGTGTCATTTTGTTTATGTGTGTGTTACATATGTGGATGCTCTTTAATAAAATGCACTTATAAACTGCTCATCTTTATTGTTTGTACAGAATATAGCACTGTGTTCTCTGCATATCTTCAATGGATCCCAAACAACATATAACAATAAGTAGGAAAATAAAGAAAGTGCAAAAAAACTGAGTTTAACTTGTTAGTTTTGGGAGACCTTACTTAATATTCTTATGAAGCTAAGGGAAATCAGCCAATTTGAACCAAGGGAAGGCCTAATTTAAGTTCTCAGTGTCGTGGTTTTGGTTTGGTTTAAGTTTTCTTTTTCAGTTTTCATTGGTTTTACTGTATTTCCATTTTGTGTTATTCTAGTTGTCTTTGGTTGTATTTGAGTTCTAATGTATTTCTTGTTTGCCCTCTGTTGGCCTTTTGTGACAGTCTCCTCCCTCTAGCTCTAGCACGGGCTCCCAGTCTACTGATTAGTCTTGTCTTTGTTTAGCCTCCAATTTATACTCCTCCTCTTGAGTTGCTGTTTGATGGTTCATCATCTTTTCTTTGCTCTCATGTGTGTTTTCACTGATTTAACCTGGATTTTGGTGTTCAGTGTTTTGTTTGTAGACTTTTGCTTCTGACACTATTTGAATAATCCCATCTGCAAGAAACCACTTGGTTTCCATCTCTGCATTTGGGTCCTCTAAAACGTCCACACAACCTGACTTTCACAAAGCCATAAAGCCATATGGGCTATTGGTGAATTGATCACAAACCCAAAAGCTAGGTAGTTACAGTATAAAGTGCTTTAGCTATTTCTTTCTGCAAAAATAAGAAAATCCAAAGTGTACTCGTGAAAAGCAGAGTGATAACCCCCCTCATGTAACAGCTCTAACAGCCGCTACATGATGTCAGGATTAGCTTAGCTCGAAGGACTTACAATTGGTAAAAAAAAAAAAAAAAAAAAAAAAGCATGGATTAGTTCATCAAATCTATTCTGTACAAATGAAAAAAAGTGCAACTGCAGACAAACTAAGAAATGGCTTCAAGCCCTATTGACAAGAAGGGCATAGGTAAACATTAATCAGAAATAAAGAATGGCCTGGTCATTAAATCTACATGTGTCAAGGCTTGGAAGAAAGCATTAAAAGATCTAATCCATTCAAGATGACTGAGCTTGTGTTATTTGTACAAAGAGAAATGGGCAAAGAAGTCCATGTTTTGAATCATAAAACTAATAGAGACATACTCCCCAAAAATGTAGCTGCAGCTGGAACTACAACACTGGCTAAGATGGCTGGTTAGGTTGCCATTTTCTGATTTTTAATGATGCATTCTTGCTTACTTTCTGTTGGTCTATCATATAAAATTAAACAAAACATTTTCTCAAAACTGTTTTACTGCTGAATGGCTTACTACTGAATACTTTTTAGCACTGCACATTATTCTGTTTATCTCTTTTCATTAAAATGCAAACGTATATGAGAATATAAAGATGCCAAATAGAAACGGAAAACTAGATAGCTGAAAAGAATAGAAATAGCTTGAGTGCTGGCCTTTATCTGACGTCCCATAGTTCCTAAACAAGTCAGCTAAGAGGCTGTAAATGTTGCCTGCTTACCACTTTCAGATGCAATCATCCTCTCAGCCATGCTCTGTTCTTTTCTCTCCTCTTCTGGTGGTTTGCTTCTACTTTTTGTCTTTTATCTGCAGAGCAAGAAAGAAGAATCAGAGACACAGAGTCACACTCTGAGTAGGTTTGCGAGCCACGACGAGAATCAATAATGCCATCTGAAACATTAAAATACTATAATGCTCAATAGACATAAAGTTAAAACAAAGCATTTGTCTGAAGCTTTTACTTATGAATAATTATATGTGTATTGAAACACAATGTGTATGGTGTTGAGAGAGACAAATACAATTATAGTAGAAAAAAAAAACTCACAACTGCTTTGTGGTTATGGTTTTCACTGTATTAACCTTAGCAAATGAAAAAATGTTTCTTCATTGCTGTGTGAAATAAGGAAGTAATGACAACATGGCAGAGATCCAGAAATAAAAAAAGCATGAACTCAAATTAGGCTTGCAGAATCAGATTGCAGAATTTTAATCTCGATCACGACTGTGAGTTCTCACAAGCAAATGAACGTGATCTACTGATACCAAGGGAGCAACTCCATTACAGTTGTCACAAATCAAAAGCTGGAATGTAAGTCAGGTTATTCAAACAATTTCAGGAAGGAGACACATTTAAATTGCCTTTAAAAATGGCTTCTCATGTTCATAATTGAGTGTTCAGCAGTAATTCTACCTACAGTTATCACCAAATAGATGTGTGAATGTGACAGTATCGGTAAGATTTTGTTAAAATAAATAAATGCAGATGTATAATGGCAGCATCACAGGCACGTTGACAAATTTGTTAAGAAGTGTAGACAGATCACTGTGTCTTTTCACACATCATTCGCTATGTTTACCATCATCAAATCACATGCTAAATTAAAACACAGCCATAACACACATTATGGATAGAATGGTAAAAAGTTTATTTTGCATTTTATATAGAAACACTAAATGAATTTGCTTTTTATTGACCTTCTTACTAACTAACTGACTAGTGTTTCATATCTTTCATATCTTTTCAGTGCAAACACTAATTGGAAATATGATAGCACGATTTAAATCTGTAAACATAGTGGATTAGATGGGGCTGATTGATAATCCCCTTTACTTTTACCACAGAATTTCAACTTCCTTATAATTGGACATGTACAACTAATTACAACAAAAGTAAAAATGTCCTACCATTGTATGCATGAGTTTACATTTATTTAGGGTAAAGTTATTGCTGTCATACAGTAGCTGTCATTGTGATGACTTTTGTTCTTCAAAAAATATATATAAAAAAATGTCCAGCTGTTATTGTCATTACACTGTCACAAGTTCAGAGCAATGAAATTAACTCTCTACATTTAACCCATCCACTTGGGGAGCAGTGGGCTTCCATTGTGCAGTGCCCGGGGAGTAGTGTGGCGTTTAGGGTCTTTGCTCAGCGACCAAGAGTGGCATTCTGTGTGAGTGGGGCTTGAGCTCAGAACCTCTGGATTCCAAGCGTAATGTCCCAACCACTAGGCCACCACTGCCCATGATCTTGGCAGTGATGTCTGGTCTGACAACTCAATTCACACACATGCTTAGCTGCGCCCAGTTCTCATTACCTGCTCATCTAATCCACCTGCGTTAATCTCTAAATAACCAGCCTTCAAACCAATCATCAGTGCTAGGTTATTTAGGGCCGTTAGTGAGAATTATTCTAGCGATCCTGTGTTCTGACTACCTGATCCTAACCTGTTCTGCTTCTGGACCTATGAGCCTACCTGTCCCTGTCTGATCTGTTTGCCTGACTCTTCTGACTCCTCCAGATCTTTTCCTTCTTGTGCATTGACCGGAAACATTTCCGGACCACTAAGGCCCCGTCCACACGAAGTCAAAACGAACACGAAACGCTAATATTTTCCAGAACGTTTGTCGTAAAGACGGAGACGTAAAATAAATGTGATCGTCCACACGAATGCATGAAAACACTGCAAAATGTATGCCAGGCCTGTAAGTGGCGCTGTGGTGCCAAAGAAAAAGTAGGCGACGAAATGTTGGGCATACGCACTAATATTTATACATGGTTGCCCTGCGGGTCCATTTTCGTGGTTCAGTCAAATTCAGGTGCTGAACTATGTCATCGAAATTGCTCTGTTCTTCCTGGAGATATTCCAGAAGAAGAAGATTCTGTTATAAGCCCGACAGCAGGGTGAGTAGCATGAGCAGCAACCATTCAACACAGTACGGCGCCATTGTTGTTGTGATACTGTGTCGCGCATGCGTGTTTAGAGGCGATGCTATGATGCATGCGTGTAAGAAAAAAAATGCGGTTAGAGCTTAAAGATGGAAACGCGAAAACGGCGTTTCAAAATCTTCCCACTCTGAAGGCTTAATAAAAAAAAGATCGTTTACAGACCCCCGAAACGCCGGCTTCGTATGGATGAGAGGCTGGTTTGGTGAAAAATTTGTGCGTTTAGGCCAGGGTTTGGCTTCGTGTGGACGGGGCCTAAGTCTGTCTTCACACGTCCAGCCTGTCAGCCCCACTGTGTATGGAACCTGGAGCTGTGATCTGACTTAGTGGATCTCTGACCTCCTGGCTCTAACAACAGCTTTGGCTTTGCCATCTGGAGCATCCTGACTACATCTGCCTGCACAGTTCTGATCTTCTGCCTGTCCTCTGTCTGAGTCTGGGACTCTCTCTGTGGCGAGTGCGCACGATGGTCATCACACAGCCAGCCGGCCGGAACTATCCTCTACCTCTGGACTGATGAGACCAGGTTAGTGACTCACTCAATCGTGATCATTCACTTTGAGATAGACATGGTTACAAACCTGCTATCTCCTGACTTAAACGCCCACCCTGAATTCTGTTTTTCAATAAAGGTTCTGAGATCTAGCTGCTTGTCCACCTTTAATAATGGATTGTTTAATTCTAAGCTTGACAAATGAATTACATTCAAGGACTTCTTGTTTATTAAACCACTGTACAAGTGAAAAGTTGAATCATTCCTGCTATATAAAGGTGCAACCTTATACTTCCACTAGTGTTAATTCATCTAAACCTTCCATCACAATATGTACAGTACAGACATCCCTTTCTGAGGCTCTATTTTTTTTTTGGCAACAAATTTCTATGATGACTTTCAGGTGGAAAATATTAGTTACCATCTGCTGCATAACTGCCAAACCACCGAAGCAGGCAATCCCTCATTGGTCTGTGAAACTCAGATCTTTGAGAGAAACAGAATATTATATATTTACTATAAGCCAAATAAATAAATAAATGTTTGCTTAAATATACAAATGAAAATGAATAGGGAATTACATTTTAAATTGCATTCCTTAAATAAATCTAGATTACTAATATAGTCTTCCAGAGACGTTACTATTTAGAACACTTTACATAGGCTGCACATGATTTTTCTCCAGAAATATTATGTGATTTTGTTATGCTGTATAAAACAAGAAGGGGTTTGTGATATTTTTTGTTGTAAAGTGTCATAAAACCCAGAATGTAGGGCCCAGTATTCAGGCAAGACAGACAGTGGGAAATTTAAAAACGTTAAATGAAAGTAAAAAGAACAGAAAGCGAACTGTGGATATGCAGCAGCTGCAAGGGGGAGGCGGGGGGACCACCGATCACAGACCCTGTGGTTTAATGGTTCAGTCAATCCTCTCCCAGTAAGGCAGGATCATGCCGATGGACTGCCAACGAGATGTGGCGGTTGCCACCCAGAGGGTCCCTGATAAGGCAGCCTCAGTGAACAGCCAGAATTTTGAGCCAGGTAAGGGAAAACAGTTTAGAACAAGATGGTTCTGAAATCCAGGAGTCTGTAGCCCGGTCAGGGGTTCCAAACAGAAACAGGAACAAACAGACACAGTGTTCCAGGAATCCAAGGAGCATACAGGCAGGTTCAGGGCTCCATGAGTCCAGCACAGAGTTCTGGGAGACACGCTCAGATGTAAAAAAGGCTGGCACAGCAGTTTTAGAGGCACAGACATGACACAACAGCAGGAAAACTGCAAATCTTTAATCTGGCTCCCTCCACTGAGCCAAAAAAGGAACAAGGAATGCTCAGTGGATAACAGCCAGGACTAAAGAGCTTTAACCTATCTCCCCCCCGCCGAGCCAAAACTCGTACAGGGCACGCTTAGTTGGCAAGAGCCAGGACACTATCAGAAAACACTAGGCAAGACAAAAACCCTCTCTACTACTGGACTCTGAGAACGAAAACATGAACCTTGAAACAAGGTCTAACTCAAACTATCGAACAAGCACCATCAATGATCTGGCCCTGATAGCCGGGCTGAGCCGGAATATAAAGCAGCAGGAGTAGGTTGATTAGATGAATGATGATTAGCAACCAGGGAGGGTTAGGCAGGTGAGTGAAATCAACAGTTAGGTCAGCTTTCATGTCCATGTAAAGTGGCAGAGGGAAATTGTCATAAACCTGCATGGAAATCAGAACAAAAAAGCATAGCTTCAGGGCAGGTATGTCAAAGTTTCTTGACTCGATGCATGTACAAATCTCTGCAAGTTTAATATACAAAAAGAAGCACTTAATTGTCCAAATTAAGAGGTAAAACCAAAATGCTATTGTCAGAAATGTTGGAGACCACAGTAGACCATGTGGTTTAGGAGCTCCTTCCAATCCCTGTGGGAAGAAAAGAATTTAAAGAATTTAGAAGCTGCTTAAGCATTTGTGTTTCATTTGATGCCTTCCAACACGGTGGCAAGACTATGCCTTTCTTTTAGTTTAAAAAGGCAAGGCCAGCATCGGGAGTACTCTCCTTTTTTTCATTATTGGAACTTTAACTCTGCTGCAAAATGTTATTTTCCCCACTGTAATGAGTTCCCCATCCAAACTGTAGGATAGGGAAAAGGAAATGCAGAGGAAGTGATTATGCAAAACACTTGCCTGACTTGGTGAATTAATGAGTAAGCAGGCAGGAAAGAAAAATATTTTTTAGTGCCGAGACAAAAAATTTAAATATCAAGAAGTTTGACTCAGGACACACAAAATTAATTAGTTTTGACACCTTGAAGACCATAAAGAATCTAAGGACACTAGACAGCTGTCTTTTCTTTTTTTTAATGCGAATCACCT